ACAAGTAAGAACGTTGCAGTCGGGCGTTACCAACTGCAGAATACTCATTCACACCCCATCAGCAATTCAGTAGCCAAGTTTAGCTCTAATACTATAGAAAGTTCAGCTTTTCTCGATTTGCCACGCCCCTACTGGGCTAACGGTAAGCTAGCTGCAAAATTTATATTCTTACGTTCAAAAAATCAAAAGATTACAGGGTATTTTTTGATATGCCACGCCCCTAAAGAGGCGTAACAATATTATTGGGGAATCGATAGAGAAAGTTACTATTAACTTAACTATCTAAGTGTGAAGCTTCTCGCTCTTAAGTTTTAGGAGGTCTAAACTTTTGCGATTTGCCACGCCCCCTTTGGGCGGAGATAAATCCATCATAGCTCGTTGGACTTTCAAGTCTCTAGCATCAATAGTGCCTGATATATAGCAGAATTTGAAAGAGCTCTATATATGATTTGATATATCCGCCATAGCTGACGATCTTGGTGATCTACATACCAAATTTCAGCTTTCTAGCTCTTCAACTAATACAATTTCTGGCATATCGGAAAATGCATTTTCCGATTTGCCACTCCCCTAGGGGGCGGATCCGGAAAATTTTACCACTTTATAGATCGGAGATATACACGAGTATATGTTCTAAATTTCAAGTCTCTAGCTACAATAGCGCCGAAATAGACAGACGCACAGTCGGACAGACGGACAGACGGACATTGCTTAAAACCAATATACTCATTTCGTGAATGAGTATAACAAGTAAGAAGACTCCAGGCATATATATACTATCTGGATTGAATGTCGTGCCAGCGAGAGTAAAGACGATGTGGTTCGATTAAATGTTTAATAATCTGAGTGAAATGTCAATTACACCTTTGGTGTGAGGCTGCCAGATGATATGTGTTAAAATAACATAAGTTAAAGCTAAATTCAATTACATTTTCAACAGTATTAAGCGATCAGAACAGCTTGCATATTACGCATAAGAGTCCAGTATGTAGTTTTTATAGTGGTTTGAAGAGCAAAATTGAACAAATATGCTAGTTAGATGCTGGGCAACTCTGAGAGTTTCCAACAAAAAAAGGATTATCATGCTGTAAGTCTTTAAACGCCAGTATCCCAAAAGCCGTGCTATGCTTCAAGTATACTTATGAATATACAAATGTGTGTGTATATGTATATGTATATAACTTTTTTATGGGAAATCAGGGTACAATGGTTTTATTCAAATGTATGTAACAGGCTGAAAGTGCGGAAGCACCCTTAAAGTCCGGCTGTCTTTTTGTTAAATTTTATAATAATTATTAAACAGTCTCAAACTTATTTTAAAATGTACATATTTAAACTTACTTATTATGAACGTCAAGCTCGATCCAACACAAATGCTCAAGAAGCTAAAACTATATTTGTAAAAAAGTGAGTAACTATATTTTCCATGATCCTAAATTTTTTATATATCGTGTCTGCACAGTCATATTGTAGGAATTTGATCAGTTTAAAAATATTACGTTTCGAACTTTTACAAGCAGAGGGCCCACTGTACTGTACACAAATATTGCCAGACATAATGCTCTAATATATAAATGTGTTTGTATATGCTATAAATATTTTTATTTCGAGTCAACGCTCAGATCCCGCATTTATTTACCTTCCCATTGTTTTGGTTTCATATAGAATTTTTATTGTGTAACATGAAACAATTTCATACGTTCGGAATTGCATCTGACAGACAATTTTACTGCAGCGTCTGCAGCTGCAGCTGATGCCACTGCTGCTGCTGCTGCCGCTGTTGCTCTTGCTGCTGCAGTGATAACACACTACCTCGTCTTTTCCCCTAGCTCCGGTGCATTAGCACAACTAATGATGACTGTGGAATTGCATGCAACGCGGTTGTAGCATTCTACTAAGTCCCTTTGCTTTTTCACCCACACCCACTTGCTCTCTCACCCTACCGCTCTTTCGCTCTACATCTCTCTTTATCTGCTCTCTCTCTCTCTCTCTCTCTCTCTCTCTCTATCTGTCTCTCTCACACACACAAGCCCACACACTCTCTGTATATGTGCATCTCTTTCCAGTCTATTATATGGTTGTTCTGGACGTTGATGATAGACCATTGCATTAGCGCGGTAGAGCGCAACATAATGTCGTTGTGCACTTTCCACAGCAATTGCTTCGGCAGTCATGGCGTTAACGGAGACGCAGATAAAGGCAGGGAGTCTGCAATGGAGCTTATGGTGAAACTGTAGCTATAGCTATAGCTGTAGATGTAGATGTGTAGCTATTGCTAGGCCCTACCGTTTCTCGTTCTGTGATGTGGATTTTATAATTACGTGCGCTGAGTGCGATTATTATGATTGTTTCTTAATTCACAGATTTACAATATGTATATAGGCACTCATGTGTGTGAGTAAGAGTGTCTCTACGCAGACACCCACACAATTAAATGTGCTTACATATATATACATACATACATAGAAGTGTGTGCGGTTGGTTAATTGTGAATGCGCTTCTATTCCATTCTAGCTTTATTACTTTATTCATTCACTCAGCAAATATGGAATTCTTGCTATATCCCTCAAAGCATCGAATGTAGCACTGAAATTTTTGTGAACATATATACTTTTTTGATTGGTCTGAAAAAAAGCATAAAAAAACAAGTAAGAAAGCTCTAGCCGAGACTGCTCGACTACAAAATCCCCAAAACCCTTCTAGCAACTGATATTTCAATAATTATTTGCACATTCACACACACATAAGCGGCAGTGTGGGCTTGCTTGTTTAATCTGAAATCATGAAACTTTTAGATATATTATAATGTAGATACATATGTATGTATTTGCCAAAGCACAAGTCTCTTGAAATATGATTTTTACAAATTTAAGGGTGACGGGGCGAATATAGGTGAATAAATAGGTGAATTATATCAAAAATCGAAGTTGCATAAAATGCACATGAATACATTTAATATTAGGTAACTCTAGCTTAAGAAATGTAGCAGCTATAAATTTATTACTGATTTTCGATGTTTTTAATCGATAAAATAATAGAAGGTAAGTTATCGATTTTTGAAACTCGATATGCGCGTGGCATAAACGGACCTATAAAATCAATTTCAAGTCTCCAGCACTTATATCTTCTGAGATCGATGCGTTCAGACAGGGCTAAATCAACTCAGCTTGCCGCACTGATCAATAATATAAATTGATTGGGTATAGAATTAAGATATTATGTTTTACGATATTAAAGAGCTGAGAAACCCAAAATGCTTATATATTTATTACTTTTGCTTTTAACAAATGTAGTTTTATATATGTACATGTATTTATATTTTTAAATGTCATTCATATCTGAAAATATAATTATCCCTGCATTTCATTATTATTACAACATTCATCAGTACTTTTAAGAAAATTGTCATCGTTGCTTTTTTAAATTATAATTTAAGTCCATTAGCTTTAACTCATAGATCCCAAGTTTTACTTAATGGATATTATTAGTTTATGATTTTTTACCGTTTGAATTGTCATCCAGTTGATGCTTCAAAAGTGGAGCCATTATGCTATAACCATCTGGCGTCGTTTGGGAAAAGGAAATATCATTACATGGGGTACCAGAACCATCATTATCCCCGGATTTCGGAAATTCATTCTCAATGCTATTTTTGTGAATATTATCAGAACATGGTTGTTGATGTGGCAAAAGATCCAAGTCGGACTCGTTTTTCGACGAAAAAGGTTTGTGACAAGTTGGCAGAAGCTCGACTTCATCGCATTCCGACTCCGACAGTTGAACTGCCGTTCCGGAAAAATCTATCGATGGTGTGAGCAATCGTGGATAGTTTGAAATATATTCTATTATTTCCAGCGCCGTTGGACGTTTGCTCACCTCCTGACTCCAACAGGACTTTAAAAGGCCCTCTAGTTGTGGCTTGACACCGCTTGGTATTTGTAGTGTATTACCAGCTTTTACAAAATCGAGAACTTGGTTATTTGTTAGACCTTGATAGGGGTATGATCCAAATGTTATTATTTCAAAAAGTACAACTCCAAATGACCATATATCAGAACCTGGCGTGAATAGTCCCAATGAAAGTGTTTCAGGAGGCATCCAGCGGACTGGGAAAAGTTTTCTTACACCTTTTCTGTTGAAGCAATAATAATCACTTTCAAATGTGGGTCGGGCCATACCAAAGTCTCCAATTTTAACGACACGCTGAGAGTTCACTAGACAATTTCTACATGCTATATCACGATGAACATATTTTTGCTCTGCAAGATATGCCAATCCACTTGCAACGTCCATGGCATACATAGTCAAACGCTTTGATGATATATCAGATTCATCAGTTTGTTTCTCATTTACCATGTTTCTTCTAGCCAAAAGGTATGTTTTCAAATCGCCATAAAGCATGAATTCCATTATTGTGTAAATTGGTTCCGTTTGCAAACAAACACCTAAAAGTTTAATAATATTCTTATGATTAAACTTTTTCATCGCTTCTGCTTCTGCCAAGAAATCTAATCTGTCCTCTGTAGATTGTCCAGCCTTCAGAGTTTTGACAGCCACTGCAGTCCATTCGTCGGAGTCCAATCGCGCTTCACCACCATAGACCGTGCCAAAAGCACCTTCTCCTAACCGTCTATTGATCACAACGTTATCCTTTTGTACTTCCCATTTGTCTAATGTATTCACTTTGTTTCTTGATGGTGAGATCAGGTCAATGCCAAACATTTTCATTATTTGGGCAGATCGTCTAACTTTTCGATCGAAACGTTTTTTCCAAAAATAACAAGAGATTAGTGACATCAGCACAATTACTATCAAGCATTGAAAAATTATGAATATCATGGAAGCAATATCACAGGTGATATCCAAACATCGGGCTAAAGCTGAAAAGCTACAGTCATATCGTCCATCTTCGGGCACCTGCCCATGAAATGCTTTTTCTGTGTAAAAAACAAGTTTCCCTCCGGTGATATGCATATTTGCTGTTTCTCCCTCAATAATAGGCTTGAATAAACCAATTCTTTCATGAGTCGAGTTCGTCCATTGCAAAATATCCAGATCGATTATACGTGAGCCGCCAAACTCGCCTGTTCCAAATCTCACATTCCCAGACAAGCCATTAAAATCTGTTTCGCTAATTAATTTGGACAGTTGCGTTGTAACTTCTATTGATCTTAACTCATTGAAAGCATAAGTGTTGTTCTCCAGCAATTTATGTGCAGCAAGTGCATAGGTCCACACTGCATCGTAAACAAACCCTACATAGCTTGAGAATGTTGGATACATATTTTTATAAGAAGTCAACCATGAATTTATAGTTATTCCCTCTTGCATTTCTGCATTTAGTTCGCCAAATGGGGTGTGTCTTATACTTAAGTGCCCTTCGATTGCCTGTTAAGCATAGAATGTTTAGTCAGAGTCGGCATTTAATATTTTTACATGAACTACTCACGTTTCGAAACTGCTCAGTGGAACATTTATTATTGACTTTAATACCCCACATTTTAAAGTCTTTTGACAGCCAAGATGGTAAGAACCAAACATAGTTCTCAGTTTGTGTCATCTAAAACAAATTAATGGTTTTATAATAGTTAACAGTTTTAAATTAATTAGTATTTGTATGGCTCTAGATCTAGATAACTGTAGTTTCAACCAAAATATTTTTATTTTAGTTTTTCGTTTTTAATCAAATTAAAAAATGGCGAAAGCATATAAAACATAAGAATGGATTAGTATTAAGTCTGAAAAATTGGAACAACTCTATATTCAAGCCATAAAAGGCTAGACTGAAAATAGAAAATATTTAACACGAGTCTACAAAAAATCATCAGAACGTATTCCAAATAATAGAGCAATTATTGACAAATACACTTCTTTGCTCTTCCTATAACATTCTGAAAGTTTTTGGAAAATCATCTACAAAAGTTTTATTTGGTAAATGAGTTCTCAAGCTGCAGCGTTGCGTCAAAAGCGCAGTTAACAGAGCGCGTGTGTATATATATGTGTGTGTGCATATGTTGCTTATATATACATAAAATAAGCGAAAAATTATTGGAATAGCAGTTCTTAGCGGGCTCAGATTTATAGTGCCCAAATCGACAACATGGATATTTCTCTAATACGTTAACACTATTTATGAATGCAAGCCAAAAATCCCTCACGTAAAATCCTCTTAGTTTCTGACTACTTTTCAAATTTTCTAAGTCTCTATACAATAAATACAAAAATCGTAATACATACGCCCAGCTTTATGGCTTCACATATGGTAATTGCCGCAGTGTCGCTTTGCAGCTCCGCAATAATAATTCTAGAGTAAGCTTCCTTTAATTTGACCAGATGCTAAAGTAAATACAAATTTATATACATATTTATTTAACACATTCTTTGCAATGTAACAATTAAAACGAACCTCTCTCATTTCCGTAGCAGTCACATCATGCGGAACCTTTCGACTGAACGCCAAGGTGAAGTTATATAGTCTCAATTTGTTCTCCATGCGCGACAAATAGCCTGTATATTGCTGGGTGTCCTCTGTCAATGTTGAGACTCGAGTCCAACCAAGTCGCTGCATAATTTTGATGTAAGCATCCACATACTCGCTGTTTGATCCAATCGTTCGAAAAAAGTATGGATATGCATCGCGGTCAACAAAAGAGTCGCCCTCAGCGGAATATGATATAACCATCATATTCAAATGCTTCGAAATACCTGCTATCGGTTCAACAGTTTCACTGCATGCAGGGCCCAGAACACCCAATAAATTTGGCTCATTGAAATAATGTATAAATGACTTCAAAACCATATCCGACTTGCATTGACCGTCTTTTATTAGTAGCTCTAAATTATAGTTTGGTAGTATTGTTTTATTCTCATTGATTACATCGACAGCTCTTTGCGATGCCTCAATAATATTGGCATGTCCCCGATCTGTTATATGGAGTGGGAATATACCACCAATCGATAATGTTTTCACCGTCTTTGGTAGAACCCATTGACTGTATGTCTTAAAATTCTGGAGCAGCCAATTACACGCGACATTGTTAAATAATTCTTCAGAATCTTTTGTATAGGCTCTTTGTACACTAAGCTCATTCTGAATATTCTCAAAGTCTTTATCATTTATATAAAATTTTCGAAGAGCATACATCATTCGTTTATCATAAACTAAACTTCCGGGATAATATTTTAAGATCGGAGTTAACTCGTATCGGCAATTTGAACTTTTCAAGTATTCATGGTCCTCACATCTGGGCAATGATATTTGAGTAAATTTAATGTCAGCATCAATTATATCAGAAGGAATCCAATGAAGAAGTACAAATCTTTTTTGCCCGCGGGTGTAACTAGACTTATATATTGCATCCAATTCTTGTATAGTATCTCTAAATTGATGTCCTAACCAAACTACATTTAGATAGCTGTCATTTAACTCCTCTGTAATAAAGTACGAATCATCGCGCCATTCCGCTATTAGCGTAGCACATTTGATATTGGCACACTTTGGATTTATATATTCTTCAACACTATAAAAATGGTAAAATACATAACTCTTTATCACTCAATTAGACACTTTCACTGTATATTGTACCTTCTGTTTGATAATATTGATATAATATTATTTTCCATCAAGTAGAGTGAATAATATACATTATTAGTATCCCTAAAGACTTCATAATGCAAGCTACAGTCCTTTGTATCCGTCGTAATTTGTGACCTTGGTACAAACCAACTGAACCGACCGGGAGCTATAGACGCACCGGCACTATATATATTTGGTTGTGGCTCCTTATGCACTGTGTATGGTGTCCACACTTCCAAATTGATCATTGAAATCTGATGGTGTCCCTTATAGTATCTACAACATTTAAAGTATATTAATAGTGGTACTCAGAAAATCGCGAATATTGACCTTACTTGACATATTTTAGGGTTCGCAAAGCATTTCCAGGGTCCGATGAATTTTCAAATATTAATGGAATAATTTTCACATCCTTATAGTTAAGCACTTCCTTTAAAAATATTGAAAATATTCGTGTCATCACTTGATGCGTTGATCTATTTGTAACTTGAAGACCAATGCCAAATCCATTGTTTGAAGGATGAATTGAAAAGTAATCTACAAGAATAATATGAATCTAGGACTCGTTTTTTTTTTCTAATATGCGATAAATATAATTATAAATCAAGTAAGAACGTTGCAGTCGGGCGTTACCGACTGCGGAATACTTTTACACCCCATCAGCAATTTACTAGCCAAGCTTTGCTCTAATACTGTAGAAAGTTCTGTTTTTCTCGATTTGCCACGTCCCTACTGGGCGGATCCGGAAAATTTAAAACTTTATAAATTGAAGATATACATATACATGAGTATATGTTCCAATTTTCGAGTCTCTATAGAGACTAAATGAAACTATAGCTTCAATAGCGCCGAAATAGACAGACGGACAGACAGCAAGGCGGACATTGCACTAACCAATATACTCATTTCACTTTCGTGAATGAGTATAAAAATAAAGCAACAACGTATATTTCAATTAATTGATGAGCTATGCCATAATTAGTAAGTAAAGCATATTATTAATACATAAATTGTTCAATTAAACATTGACTATGCATATCGTACTGAAAAAGTAAATTAAATAGTATCCCAATCACTTCATCTTCAACTAGTATTCTAGTCGTCACTGCTCAACTAGTCTGCTGAGCCCAGCCCGATCTGCGATTTTAAGTGTGTATCTAAAATAAAATTCATAGTAAAGCTCCTGTTGCAGCTGTCACGACTGTTTCTTAGCTGGCCAAACGTTTTGTTTAATAATTTATGTTGCATTAGCGGATTAAAGTTAAACTTTCAGGCCCTGTCTCGATCTGTGACTAGTATACAGGATTTTCCGAATCAATATGTTTTCTGGTCTGAAAATTTAAAAAACCTCCGCGATTGAAAACTTAGTTGAAAATAATAAAAATTCTTTTAAAATATATTGTTGCATTCTTGTGACTATTAAGGTAAGTTATAAAGATATTTATAAATAATTAAATTATTGGTACTTACTATTTGTTTTAAGACACTTATTAGATGATTCAATATGTACCGGAAGACATAGAAAAGCAACCGCAAAGGACATTAAAAACACACTATTTGGCTTGAATAACATTATTGGTTGATTTTTCAAAAAAAAATATATTTGTTTTTTTTTACACTGAAAGAAAATATATTGGATAATTAAAAATCATATAACCCAAATACATTAATATACAATCATTTTCTCTTACAAATTTCAAATAAAACAAGTAAGAAAGCTCTAGTCGAGACTGCTCGACTACGAGATCCCCTG